AGGTGGGGGCGTGGCCTCTGACATCAGGTGTCCCTCCCGTTGGTTGTGGGGCGGGGCCAGCGGTCTGAAGGCCTTGCCGGACATCAGGGGGCTGGGCGGGGCGTCCTGCGGGGGCCGGCCGTGGGGGGGCGGGGGCTCCTGGGTCTGGGCCTGGCCGCGGCTGCAGCGCGGGCAGGCCTCGCCGGCGTCTGGCCGCTCCGGGGGCAGGCTGTAGGACCTCTGCCTGGACTCGTCCGGCGGGGGGGCGGCGGCGGCCGGAGGGGCGGAGGAGACGGAGAAGAGGAGGGCGTGGTGGGAGGCGCGGCGGCGGTGGAACTGCTCCCACTTGGGGGGCGGGGGTCTCGGGGGCGGCGGCGTCTTCCTCCTGGCCGGTCCCGGGACGGCGCCGCCCGCACCCTCGTCCGCCTCGCTCAGGGTCTGGCTGGCGGCCGCCGAAAGGGAGGGCGACCAGCGCTGACCGCTGTCGGAGCGGAGGTCGCTTTCGGACGCGGCTCTGCCCCGGAGGGAGAGCGGCGCCGGCGGGGGGGCCGGGGCGTGGCCGTTACGTCTGGGGTCCCACTGAGACGGGTGGCCGCCGCTCTGAGGGGGTCTGGACTCCCGCCTCCAACTGGAATAGTCCCTAATGCAGAGAAATAGTTCAGTTACAGACCTTACTTTCACCCGGGTGACCTGGGAGCATTTCACTTACTCTTTCCTACATATTCAAGCGAAAATAAACACGTAATTAGCAGATGGATGTTTCCTTTAAAACAGATGTTCCAAACACCGGCGAGGTTCAATTACAGAGAAAACTTCCTCTTTGACTTCCAGGCTCACCGAACCGTTTCCGTCACAGGTCAAATATGAGCTGTGGCCCTTTCTTTTCCTTTTTTTTAAACATTTTTATTTATTTTAAACGCTAGCATACATCCCACCACATATATCACGGCCACATTTTCAGCCGCTCGGCTCACTTAGATCTCATTAAAGTCGAATCCCGCCCGGGCGTGACCGGGGGGGTTTCCGCCCAGCGACGCACAATGGGGCCGACCCCGCCCCGGCGTGTCGGAGTGTGAGGGGAAAGGCAGCTGGGGTCTGGTGCGGCTCACCTCTCGGTCAGGCTGTACTTCCTGTTGAGCTTGCTCGTGTCCGGCAGCTGGCCGTGAAATGTCTGCGGAGAGATTTCACGTGGGTCAATAACTCCGGAGGAATGAAGGAGGGCTCCCACCTCCGCTCCTCCACCCTGTGACAGAGTTAATTGGGGTGGGGGTAATTGTTGCCGAATCGGGCCTCCCCGCAATTCCCCCTCTTCTCTTATCTGGATCTTTACCTGAGCTCAAATGTTTCCCAAAAAACATTTTTAAATCGTTTTACTTGTAAGAGTTGGTGTGCGTCCATGCAATGCTTCCTGAGCGTTTTTAAACAGATAACCCTGTCCAAGCTTATTTTGGTCTTTATCTCGCACATATGAATTCGTAAACAGACAAAATGCAGCATAATATGAAGTGTGACAATAGGAAATAACCTGAATTAAAGCAACACATGTTCACCTGACTTGTATCAGATGTTTGGATTTTAGTCTTAATTGTTTTAGAACTAGGAAGTATCAGTTGGACAACTGTTTTGATGGACTCTTACAGGTAAAAATTTTTTAATAATCGTGTTTTTTTTATCATCTGGCTTTAAGACATCTGTGGATAAAAGTGAAAAAAAAAGCAAACAATTCACCCAATGAGAGTCTTCTTTGTTGTATTTTTTTGTTTGATGTCTCGCCAAAAGCTCTGGCCTGCAGACGGTCCAGCGCCCGGGCTCTCCTACGGCCGCGGTAACCGATGCGGCATGTGGCTCAACGCCGTCTGGCTAAAACACACCAGGGATGGGAGAGCTTACTGTTCTGGGCTCTGGACACACCTTTTAGGGGCTGGTGGTGGGTTTCCGGATGAGCCGGTTACCAGGCCTACAGGCGCTAACGCACTCGGCCCTTGAAAGCTCGAGTCATTAAAGCGCTGCTCAACAAATGAATTGCTCTCGTTAAATAGAGGCGCTCTGGACGGGCGTAAGACCCCCACAGAGGGGGGATACACACACGCACACATATTCCTTGAGGAGAGATATTTTTCGGCTGTCTGCGATGCAAACCTAAACATCCAGATCATGTTTTTGTTGGCACGGCTGGAAGCCAGTTTTAGCATATTTGGCCGTCTCCGACTGTCAACACGGCAGTGGATCCATGAAATATTAAGTGATGCGCTCTGTGCCCTTAGCCCTGAAACCCCCCCCCAGACATTTTAGACGTCTTTTGGCTATTGCTGATCAGTCCGTGGATGGGATTGACTTTTGTTTACTGGAGTAAGGCCATCGTTTTTGAAATACTGATACGACCATGACTTTGCAAGGAAAGGAAATGGAGTAAAGAAATTGCTTCTCTCAACCCCAAATATGTGGAACTACAGCATAAAAGGTACAATAGTTAGCCTACTGGTAAATATGCAATTACCTGAGAAATCATTGAACATTCTATCAATCACATGAGTTATTTCATGTTATTGTTGGACAGAGTCATGTAGAGATCCCCTTAGGAAATCACCTACGAGGGGAACTTTTACCTGGTAGGATGGGGGGGGACAAAAAAAGCTATGTTCTCATTGATTTATGTAAACAATCACTCCTGATTGTTTACATACAAGTTCATTATATACCCAAATAGTAGGTAAGACCATCACTTAACTATAGCAAATAGTTTTTATAGCAAATCAAAGCTAAAGGTGGACCAGCTAAATCTTATCTTTATTTGACATGCTGAGCAAATTATGTTTGTTCCAATGTAAAAACAATGAGAGACACATATCTACTTATGTTTTACGGAATCAACATCTGATGATATGACAGAAATCCTGGATTTTCTTGTTCGCGCTCTACAGCGCGCTGAACCCAAGCTGCATTCCATTTGCATCAGAAGTCCCAACCAGGACGGAAATCACAATTTTTTATTTGACAAATGGGTTCATTTTCACCATTTTGTTCTTTTTGAAAAATAGTCCTAATTTACTCTGTGTAATTTGTTATTTGAATGAGGAAAAGATTCTGGCAGTCTGTGTGTTTTAAATTCATATTTATGAATATAACAGTTTTCGACTGATCAACGTTCATTCATTTGACCGCCAAAATTTCGGTCCCATCTGCTATCGAGTTGGACAGCCCTGCTTTTTTAAAAGACCTATTTCATGACTAAGCAATGGCATTGAGTAACAGACCATAGAACAATTACCGAAGCCACTAACGTTTCTACTATTTCATACTCAGATTAACCCTCGCAATAAAGAACAAAACAAATCCCCATCCTCATTTTCTAACCCCTTCATTCCTTATTCCATTTGCTATGGCTCTGTGCGATTGTGTGTTTATACATTCCAGGTGGAGGTATGTTGACGCGCTCTCGTAACTGCAGAAGCACACGCTCGGCACATCTGTTGCCATTCAGAAATACTGGCCGCTGTCAGCAGCTGATTTTCAACACACGAGGTTATCGCGGTGGCATCAGAGAGGCGGCCTTTGATTTGAAAAAGGTCCTGCTATGCGAGGGTCCAGAGTTCAGGGCTCCCCGAAAGCCTCAGCGTGGCGAAGTCACCCGAAAACAACCAAACTTTGTCGGCTCGGGGGCCAAATGCTTGCTAACCTTAATGTGGGTCTGGTCCAAAACAACTGTCACTTTGCATTACTCGTTGTCAAACGATAAGGGTACAAAAAAAAGGTTGAAGTTCACACGACTGGTAAAAGTTCAGCTGAGGTGCCGCTCGCCCTCTTTAATCACTTTGTGGTGCTGTTGAAACCCAACACTGCTATTATCGCTAACGCGACCCAGCGCCGCACTGGCCAAATCTCCCTAAATTCCACGAACTATTAAAACGATACAGTGAATTTTCAACGCGAATCTCAGGCTTTTCACCGCATGTAGGACGTGAGGTTGGACTTCAAACCGGCCGTCAAACCACACAGCACTTGGACGCAGTGGTGACTTAGTTTCGACATCCAAGTGTGGCTACTCGATCTCTTGTAGGTGCTGGTTGACGAAACGCAGTCAGCGTTTGGTCTTCGGTGGTCATTTCGGTTCGCTCCAAAACCACAACCTGACTTCAGCCAACAGGGAAACTTATCTCTCTGTGTCATGGCTTCAACAGTGCTGGGGCATGGGCCTACTAAAGAAAACCTGCTCTGAAGTGGGTAAAGCTGGCAAACCGACTAATAGATTCACTAGAGCTAAACAGAAGAGACTCCTTGGTCTAAACTTATATATAAACTTCCCAAAATGAAGGCAATTTATGTTTTGATTGTAAGCCAATGCCACAGGTCAAGAGTTACAAGTAATACAATTTAATTGCGTGAAGTTCAAGGACCTAAAGACTGAACGGGTTGGTTGCTTTGTGGAGAAAACTATTGTCTTATTGCGTAAAGATTCAAAATCGGACCCGTGACAGGAGCCCTGTGCTCAGGGTACTCTTACCTCTGTTGGTGTGTAGCTTCTTGTTGTGTATCCCTGGTGCAGAGGTTGTTGGTTGTCTTCCAGCTGGAATGAAGGACTGACTGGGTAGAAAGCCGACCTGGGGACTTGATTCTGGATCTGACTGTAGAGCGGCACTGGAGGCTTGGTCTGGAAGTTGTCGCCATGTTGGAGGCCTTGATTTCTTTCCTTGATCCCAAAACACTCCTGATAGCAGATGAGCTGCAAATCTTCCTGCTTTTCCTTCTCTCTTTGTCTGTGAAGATCTGTTTCTCTTTCCTTTCTGAGACATTCCTGCCTTCTGACTCTCTCTATATCCCTTTCTCTTTCGAGCTCTTTCTCTCTCTCCCTCTCCCACTGTCTCACCCTCTCTTCACGTTCCCTTTCTCGTTGCATCTCCCTCAGCCTCTCTCTTTCAGATTCCCTCTCTTTTCTTTCCATTTCCTGCTTCATCTCCTCTCTTGACCACTCTTCCCTCTCCTCCCCTTCCCGGGCCCGTTCTCTCTCTTTCTCTTGCCGCCTTTCCCTGATGGTGCTCACAGACTGCCTTCTTGCCTCTACAGTGTTTGGAAGTTGGACATTTACTTGCTGCAGTCCGCCCTGGTAAGAGTATCTCCTATGGTTTGGATGCGGGACGAGCTCTCGGGCCTGCTGCTCTGGATGGCATGCACCTTTTTTCTGCCTGTAGCCTCCCACGTTCGAAACATTCGAAACGGACGAGGCTTTGCAGGTCTGTTCGAAAAACTTCATTCTGTCAGCAAATGGAAGGAGATCCGACTCCTCCATCCGAGAACACGAAGAGGAGCGACTGTAGGATGAGGTGGAGGAGGTGAAGGCGCAAACTCCGTGACGCGACCCGGTGACCCCTAGAGCTCTCTCACCCTGGACTCCCCCCCGCCGGTCTGCATCTGGCTCGGGCTGGAGTTTATGCTCGGGGGTCCAACGCCAGCGGCGGGCCTTGCCAGCAGGTACCACCTCCTCCACAACTCTGATTCCAACACCGAAACTGGGGACACCCGGGTCCACTATTTGAACAGACCTGGATCTGGTGTTCTGAGAGCAGTTCGTGGACTGGGTCTGCAAGACGTCACAGTTTGACGCCTTTACTTCTGCTGAGGACTGAGAGTCTCGAGGGATCACGGATGAGGCCGACGCAACGTTAGCACCTTTCTTCTGGAGGGACGGGTCGGGCTCCTCTTCGCAGAAGTCCGAACCTTCCTCCTCCTGGACCGTTTCCCCGCTGCACAGGAGCCCTCCGGGGCCACGGCTGAAGCTGGGCTGAAGCTGGGCTTTTTTCCGCTGAATCTCATTGCGGAGGTTGGTAGCAAACCGCTCGCTACGCCGCCGGTTCCTTCTGTGGCTCTTGGCCGAGTCGGACTTCTTTTTGCTCTCCTGTTCTTGTGCGCCATTCTCCTTTCTACCACCACCTTTACCTCTGTCCAATGCAGTCTTCTCCTCTAGTAAAGTATCCACACTAGCAGCGGCACTAAGAGGCTGAAAATCGCTCTCTACAACTTGGTCGGAGCTTAACCTTTCCTGAGTTGATCCTGTGGGTTCACCAGGTACGCTGACAGAGCGACCCCAAGAGATGTGATGATTAACTGGCGTATAAGATCTGCCATTTATACCCATCCCTTCCAGCCTTTCACCGGAATCTCCCTCCTCACCATCCCCTTCCAAGAACACAGATCCTGGAGTTGAGCACCGGCTACCTCCCCATTTACCAGAAGCGGGATGCTGGCTGTGCAAAGCTTCTTGGACCTCTGCTGTAAGGTGGAGAGATGAAGAATGGGAACACTGGCTACTCGTGGAAGAGGAAGAGCGATCAGAAGGCTCAAAGGAAGAGTTGTTATTGTTGAACTGCAGTAGCTGAAGCTGTGTTGCAAGAAGCTTCTCAGGGGCAGTGAGTCGATGCAGTACTGTGGGGGAATGCTTGTTCTGGGAATGCGCGGTATGGGATTGTCCTGGAACTTCAACGGAGGACTCATCAGATAAGGAATCAGGACAAACGCTGATGGAGTCATTGAGGACAGCCACATTCTCCCCGGCGGATTCTGAATTGTAGTCTTTGCTCACACCGCTATCATATCTGACAAATTCTTCAGTCTGTCTGTCTATAAAGTGGGAGTCGCCCGTTTCAATTTCGAAATTCTCCATCTGGTACGCCTTTTCGGGAGCCGGACAGCCATTTTGAATTCCGGGCTCAACATTCAGACAGGGTTTGTTTTCCTCAGACTGAGACACCCCAGAGTTTTCAATTGGAGCAGATGTACAACGTTTGCTGGCAGAATTAGGGCGACTTCGGGTCGCCCTGAAACTGTCCTTCCTTGTTGGGGGCTGCGGGGGGTTGATCTTCTTCTTCTCCTCTCCGGAATGTCCATTTCTTACAATCTCAAAGCCTCCCCCCGTCCTTTCCTGCTCGTAACAGCAGGACGAGGGCCTTTCTTTCACCACCGTGGGCCTTGGTCTTGACCTTGTCAGCGATCTGGACTTAAAGTCAACCATTTGCAACTCATCCAAGACTTCACCAGATGACTTCTGCTGCACCGATGCTTCACCTGGGTAGCTTTTGCAGGCCGGCACAAAGCTCTGGAGAAGGTTATCCATGGAGCAGGCTTCACCAGGCCTTAGCGCCACCGTCGTGTAGTCAGACGTGTTTGAGCTGGCGGAGAAGGAGCTGTACGCTGAGTCTCGTTTGTTGTTGAAGAGGGCAGGGTCGACAGGGGAATTGTGGGAGTCCTGGTAGGGCTGTGTACTGGGTGTTGGCGCATCCAGGCTCTCCATGGAGCCCAGGGAGCTGCTTCGGTCAGTGGAGGAGTAAGGTCTAGGCAGCTGAGCCCACTGCATGGACAAGTCACTGCGAAGAGACAGAGACAAAGATGCTCATATTAGAACAAAACTACAGAACAAGAACCCATTAATTCATCAGTAAAAAAAAAAGAAAACTTATGATGGTTCTTTCTTGAACAGTGTTATGTCTTCATGATTGAAGAAAAAAAACATCAGCAACCCCCACCCCCCCAAAGTCTTCTTCTAAAATTAAAATCTCTAGAGTTTCTTCTTTGGGATGTAAAATTTCAACAGCACAGTCGGGGAATCTGCTTTCTATTAGCGCTAAGCCAAAGATCCACTGTGGGCCCATATGTTTTTGAAGCCCCTCAGAGGAAGCCTCTTTAGGCTGAGAGGGATTTCCTCCTCATCAACTCTCGCTGCCCGAAGTCAAAATCTTGAAGTCATCTCTTGATTCAACTCATCCTCCCTTTACCTGTCATTTCTGTCTTTTTTTTTAAACCTTTAGATTCTTTCTGTCTTATCCCCGTCACAATAAATGGAGGATTTCCTGTACGGAATAGTAAGTTGGTTAAGTCTTTAATCTATTACATAGCAAAAATGACAGAGGAACCTTTTTTTTCAATGTTTTTCTTTCTGAAAAAATCCTTTAGTGTTATTAAAGCCAATGGTGAATAATGAATTTAACTTGCACGTCTTCTATTCTGCCCAAACTAAAGTAACTTCTCTTACAATCTTAATTAAGATAAATACTCCTGAAAGGTCGTCCTGGCAAATCAAATGAACTGGCTCTGTAATAACATAAGTTAGGCTGGCCAGAGCAAAATTACTCTGTGCAGATCCTAAGGTACGAATGGCGCCACTTAATTGGTGGCAGGACAATGGTTTACGTCTGGCCTCTGAAACTCAACGTTTTCTACCACCGTCCATCTCAAATTTAGCACCGTTGGTGCGATAAAGTCTGCCAATTAAACTTATCTCAAACTAACCTGGCCACATTAATAAAATATCAAATCTGACTGACAGCGCACTGCTGAATCTGCTTCCATTTGCCCAATGGGGAGAAACAGATGATGTGATCTGACCTCAGTGTGATGTATGCCATGACCATCAAGTATCAAACAGAGCTCGATGGGCCGTACTCTCTGCTACCCCTACACAAACTATTCCATGCAAATCCAACTGGTGGGATCTGTAACGTTATTCTCTTCAGTGGTCCTTTCATTTCTTTTCTTTCTTTTTTTTCAAATTCAACCGCTGATCATTGCAAATAAAATGAAGTAAGGACTTCCAAACTAGCTCGCTTTCTTGACGAATGACAGGGAGCACAAGGAGAGCCAAAAGAATTGGGTTACAAAATGACATTTGACACATATTGGCTCCAAGTGCTGATGCATTGGGGTGGAAGCACGTAGTGTTCTTGTGCTTGGTTCAAATCCAACCTGTAAAGCCCCCCACAAAATCTGGAGGCATTTTATTCGGGTATTTCTTTTTCCAATAAAAGAGGAATGAGTGGTCACTCACCCTTTGTATTTCTGTGGTGTCTTATTCAAACAATAGGGAAAGTTTCCAGGGAGACGGTGGAGGAGCAACAGCAGAGTGAAATTTCTAACAAGCTTTGATCTTAAGCCGGGGCAGACAAGTGAGCAGCAGTCCACCTCGTGGCCGTTTCTGTGGTATTTGTGGTTTGACAGTTCAGGCTTTAAAAATATAAAAATTGATGGGTTTTGTTCCCATTGTAAGACAATCCCCCTCGTTTAACTTCCATCAAAACACTGACTTGTTTTTCTGCAAGCACTTCGGTGACCTCAGCATTCTGAAGCAGTCTCGTAAATATATGAGAGTATAAGACCTGCTCCGGTTTGTTTCGATGTTGTTGGTACTTTGGTACTTTAGCTTTGACCTTTGAGAAACAAAACTAAAGCTCTGATGGAGTGAGAGTATCGTGAACAACTGTGATGATTCTCCAATGTGGCCCTGCGCTGGGTTTTAGACCCTTGATTCGAGACTTCTGTTTCATGTTTGGCACTTGTTTGGTCCTCTTTTTGATAAAAGCCTGCCACTGTGGCTCAATCCAAGCAAAGTTTTCTGAGAGAAGACTGACAAGATTGAGACAAGCAAGAATATCTTGTGGAGCTGTCTTTTGTAATAATTGTACAGCTTCTAATTGACACTTGGCTCAATTAATCTTTGCTCTATTAAACTCCATGATGCACAGGGATTCCAATGGGGCCAGCCAGTAACACATCTAGACACTAACCAGAGTTCTTAGGGTGTAACAAAACGTACAGGTGATCGCATTTGGGTGTTACTTTTTTATTTATTTCTGAATTAGAAATACAGGATGAGTAAAAAAAAATCTTATTATTTGAGAGAAAACTGTGGGAAAAAAGTACATATCATGCCTCATCTTGAAAGCTATCATATCTGATCAAGGGCAAGTTTTTCCAAGGGGAGGGTGGTCATGCTGTATACAAAAAAAGACCAGAAATTGATTGCAATCCGTCAGATTTGCAATATTCTCTTGTAGTTCACAGTAACCACCGGGAACGTTGCCTGTGATGCACAGCGATTTGACGTGTTCAGCACCAGGGACAGCACATTAAAAACATAGACTAGCGGAATAGCCTACAGGCAACGATTCCAGTTGTTGCTGCAACTTTCTGTGCAATATATATGTTGCAACCCTTTCTGAGACAACTCTGTTGTCTTTACAGCAGGTGTGGCTACTCACTGGCTCCTTAATAGGACATTGCGGGTTTAAAACAACATAGGATGTGGTCCTGATGAGTGGGGGGAAAAAAACGGCTCACTATCTGCATGAGAAACTGCTCTTTGGAGGAAGTGAGCAATGAATAAGTTAGAGGAGGCGTCCGCGGAGTTTTGACCTGGCTGACAAAAGAGAGAGGAAAGGGGGAAATAAGACGGGAGCTGGATAGGAAATGACAGTCACTCTTGCCCAATAATTCGACAATCGGGAACATGTGAGGCCTGACGCACGCGCGCCATCCACCGAGGCGAGGTTTGGGAGGACTGGAATCCGGCGCGCACCCACACATGTCCGTCAGCTGACTGCTACTGGGAGAGACCAGAAACTAATTCCCCTTTCGCTCCGATGTTGTGTCGGTGGTTTCGTGAAAACGAGCGGACGGTACAAAATGTCCCCTCTCCTTCACACAAACTCCAGTTTACTGAATGTCTTCCTCTCTTTGTCCACATGTTCTAGGAGTCACATGCCATTGTCCTGAGTTATGCCGGGAGCTGCCTCCTCATCAGATGTGCGTGCGTGTGTGTGTGTGTGTGTGTGTGTAACGAGATCGGGCGGGAGCAACTGTGGGAATAAGACACCCACACTCACACACAACACACACCACACATAGCGATATAATCCTCGTGGGACTATAAAATCTAACAGTGGCACATTATATCAGCGATCCTTATCAAAAGGATACCGCAGGCCTGACAAACAAGGACGCAGCGGCTATTTTTATTGTGAGTCAATACACAGACGGCGGAGGACTTCCTCTTAAAGGTTTCGACGTGACTTTGGTGAGATCATAGAGCGGCACAGAGGCAGGGCACACGCTGTCGTCCGGCTGAACCCAGCCGACCCGCAAATCTGTCCCTTTTGTGTCAGCGTGGCAGAAACACTGTCGCCACATTGTGAGCTCAAGCTACCGTGCGCATCAATCCACAGATAATAGGAAGTTATCTCTCGGGGAGAAATACCAGGCATTCCTTAGTAGTAGCCGAGCTGATTCTTTCTGTTGTCTGGGGGAAAATTAAATTCTATCTGACGTCTGGTCGAAGAAGCATTTTTGATAATGTGGCGATGAGCTAAAGTCTCTTTCCGCTGCCTGTCCTCCCCATTTCCCAGCCCTAAGATTTGCTTCTTGAAAGCCACCCTTCGATGAAGACAGTTTCTGATGGGGCTTTAGAGGACAGCGGATGGATCTACTCAAGGTCCAGATGGATTTCACAGGTCTTTCTTGATTTTTTCCCGCTGTTTTAAGAACATCGCTTTCATGTACTGTACATCTGTGGTGGATGTTTTTTTTGGGTTCAACACTAGTGCAAATTTAGGTCCAAATTTCATCTCACAACTGAAAAGAAAATATTACTTTTGCACTGTCAAACTGCTATCTTTAGTCTATTTTTCAAAAGATGCAGCTAAAGAAATGGGAACAGGTGCATAAAAAAAAAGAAGTCGTAGGTAAGTTTTTAAGTGGCCTAAAAAACGAAAAGTGCACTCCTCTGAATGGCTCCGGGTAAAATGACCGGACTAAAAATTTGAGGATAATCAACCCACGTCAAAATAATAACTGAAAGACTGACATCTGGAGACCCATTGGTTGGGATCTCTCAAATATTACACTGTCTTGGAGGTAAATTACAAATAAAATAGGGATGGCTCAAGACCTTTACGGAGTGTAGCATCCAGCATGTTGGCTGATGTTTCCTGAACTGCTGACTTAATGAAAATGTTCCTCTTGTGCTACTGTGTTTATGTCACATGGAAACTTGGACGACTTAGTGGGCATGCTTCATCTTTTTGCCATTTCTCCGCTGATCATTCATGGCTTTGGAACGTTTAAACAGAAGCCAAAATTAGATCAATGCGTTTCCTGTGTGGGCCGTGTGTGTTGACATTAAAAACAGTGATGTCACCGGCTTCCTGCCGATTGTGGACTTTTGGGGGCACGGCCAGTCACACGGAGTAAAAATTTCCTGGCTCTGACCTGCGGCCTTAATCCTACGCGGCAGTTCACAGGATCTCAAACTGGCAGGATGACTCGCTCTCAGAGCCTATATGCGAAAATGGCACAACTTTGTCAGCTGAGATTAGAAAGCCACAGAGAGGCGGAGAAGGGATTTTTCACATGTGGAGCGAGTTCAGACGACGAAACACAGGCAAAACCCTAATTCTTTGGAACCTTCACTATGTATTTGGCACTGATTTTTGTTGTTTTGTGAAGCAAGGAAAACTTTTTCAAATACTCTTAAAGGAACAGACACATGCACAGTGGCAACAAATCCCATTTCATTTTTTGTTATTGAATGCCTACAAATGACGTCACTTTAGAGACAAAACACAAAAAGTACATCAACCATAAGGAAAAAGCTGCATATGGTAATGTCCTAACAGTTTTTGTATACTTTATCCCTCTTGCTTTATAAGCAGTCAAACTGACCAGGACGGCAAAGAGGATGTACGACACGGGAGGCCCATCGAAGGTTGGACTCCATGCACGCTTTAGTAAAGATTTCATTTATCTATACAGTTTTATCAATGGTTTTGTTTGGCAAAATCAGAATTTTTACCATGTGTTATATTTTAACACAGGGACATCTAAATGTTGCTAAATCAATAAATTCACAGTTATTCTGTACTTATGTACATTTTTATTCGAGTAACTTCTTGTACGACTACTTTTTACTTTAACTTGAATAATAATAGCCTAAACTAACAACAGTCTTATTTGACTAAAATGCTTGGCAGCTCTACACATCTTTGCTTTTGAAACATGAGCCCTTATGAGAGGAATCTTGTGTCTGACTTCACTGTTCATTTTCGGTTCCTCTGGTCCTACCTGGGGAAGAACCTCCTCCACCCACCCTGCCTCCTACCGGTTAATGGCAGACCTAGACAGGCCTCAGCTTCGCAGCATCACATTACACCAAACAAGGCCTGACAGACACGTTTAAACACAGTTTGTTTGCAAGTTGTCTCACCTGCTGTCGGTTGTGTGCCAGGGGAGTGCGTACGGGCCGGGGTGGAGCTGCATCGCAGAGGGGAGTGGAGGTGGAGGAGGTGGAGGAGGAGGAGGAGGGGGGAGTGGAGGGGAGTCCCCGGACGGGAGGTAGGGTGGCAGAGGCGGAGGGGATGGAGGCGGGGGGAGGGGGAGGAGGGGCAGCTCCGATAACTTTGCCAGGTGCCAGGAGTGAGGCCGGATGAGAGGAACGCTGCGCCTGTGGGGGGGAGGAGAGGGGGGAGACTCGGGTGAGGACACACGGCAACAGCTCAAGCCTCCGACCGAATAAAAACGCGGCCCGAAAAGCAGCGGGCGGGACGGTGGCCAACCCAAACGCGGTGAAAAAAAAGCGGCTTCCTTACAAGTTGTTTGGACTATTACCGCACGGCCATTAAAAGCTCATCCGACGTGCACCGCGGGCTTCTCTGGCCTGATCTAAGGGCGAAACATTCCAACGTCTCCCAAGATATTCTCCCCTTCCCTTACGCGTACTTCCGAGCCGACGTGCCGGCCAGATTGAGCCGGGACCCCCCGCGGACCGGAGTGTGAATGTGAGATGGAAAAACAAAGAACAGAGAGAAGGGAAAAAAGCAGAGAGAAAAAAAAAGGACCAGACGGATTAGAAATGTTACATGCTTGAGGTCCGAATGAACCTTTCTGACAGTAATCTTATCTTGTTTTAGACTGACGCACGGCAGGGAATGCTGCTGCTGGATGGAAGTCCCTCAGAGGAACCAGAGGCTGCCCCCAGCTGCTGGGGGGGGAGGGATTTATGTCAGAAACATGAGGGCTGCGTAGAAATCCCAGTGCTGACTGCACCAAAATAAGTTGGAACGCGATCACATTCAAGAATTAATTAAGGAAACGATTCGAGATTACAAAAACAAAACAAACTGAACCTCAGAACAACGGATCTTTGTCAAGATCTCGATGATTGTTTTCAATCCTAAAGTGACTCGGGTTTTGCTTTTATGGCCTAAAATTTGACTTACCAATCTAAGTGAAAACAACATGAACGTTAACTTGGGTTTTACTCAACTGAGATGAAGTTGAACTTGACACCGTCTTAAATTGACTCGAGCATTATTAAGAACCCCGACCCTGTTTTGAAAGTCCAGATTCAAATATTTATTGGTTAATCTGAGCCTTGGACCCGTTTAACGGAGATCTAACGATACATAGCTGATTTGTCAGACTTACTTTGATCTAATCTCATTTCACATGGCCTGGCCCTATCTTGACTCCACTCATTTGAGAGTTCTCATTAGACCAAGGACTTGAATTTGATCCAATTGTGAACATCGCATCTTTATCAAGAGTTGTGACAGCTATTCCTTATCTTGATTGTCTTAATATCCATCTTGAACATGATAGATTGTGACTTCTCAGGGTTCCCAGATCCATTTGAACTTGTCTTTGTTAATGTAAGACAAGGCAGGGCTTGTGCTTCTTGCACCGAGTTTGTCTTGACGAATCCCCTCTCGAGTTATCGACTCGAGACAAGTCTGAACTGGCTGTAAACACGCCCGGTTGTTCCCACTTGACCAACGCTCGGACACGACCAAATAAACTACAATTTGCTCGGCAAAACCCAGAAAAAAAAAAAAAAAAACAGTTGGATGACCCCAAGGTTTCATTCCCAACGACAGCTTAAACTGGAGGCTATTAAGTTCTCAAAACTGAAGAGTACCAAATTGTAAAACGACACTATTCTGGGTACCTAAGTAGAAACATTTGGAGGTACAATTTTGAAAGAAGAATGCGGATCCTGGCAGCACAAGGGAGAGGAAAGGGCCATTTCTCAGTATTATTGTTTATGATAAAGCAGGAGCGGGAGACCCATTTCCAAAATAAACACCAAAGTTTCCTGGTTCTGGCTCCTTAAGAAGGATTTCTATCTTAGCCCACTGATTGTTCAACTTCGCTGACAATGTCCCTGAATTATCCCCTGAGAAAGTTTATGTAAAGCCAGCGTATGAGTGTCTATGATTGTGTGTGTGTGTGTGTGTGTGTGTCTGGATGTGTGTGGGAACCATCCAATTTCAACCAGACAAAATACCATTACTGAACATACCACAAACATTAAAAGACCCCTTCAACGCCCCCTCCCGTTTCCCAAAGTTAAACGCTCAAAGATTGATGACTAGGGAAATAAAACATAAAAAATGATCAAAATACCGCATGATAAAGGAAGAAAAAAAAGTTGACTGTCTTTTAGTTGCTGTCTTTTAGCAGAGGAGGAAGCTCGAGTTCCTCAAAACCGCATAAAGTCATTTTTGCTTTTCCAAAATTCCTGGGCGCCTGGGCAGGGGTCACTGATTATGCATCCCGCAAATGAGAGGATTTACAGTCGTAAGAAAGCAGTTTTAAAGAGGGGGGCCGGGGGTGAGAAATGATAGAAGATAATGTAATATATCAGGTTGAAAAGCATCAGTAAATATGGTCGTTTTAGTGGTTGACTAACAGGTTTTAGCAAAGGAATGCGTAGGAAAAGCTTGACAGATACAATTTATCCCTCCCAGCATGCCGGGCTTGTTAAAGACGTCAGGATATTCTTGGAACCACAAAAACTGAAATGCTCAGCCAATTAAAGGCCGTTCTTTACTCGTGGCAAACACATATTGGACAATGTGTTACGGTTTAAATCTAGATTGCTTTAGACACAGTCACAAATATTTTCTCACAAGTCTGACTTGGAGATTTTGACCGAGTGGACCGTGTTTGGGTTCAGTTGGATGTGTGGACGACTATTAAATGTGTCATAATAACACACTCGCTTTTTGTTTTGAGTTGGTCATCTACTGTCTTTTTGACCCTGGATGCTGCACAGTGACCCAGCCGGACGGCCATCGCACACAGTCCGAAGAACTTGTCCTTCCCTTGTTCTTCTGACACTGTAACCTACTTGGCGACCCGTCGCTGCCAGAAACAACAAGTAAAGTGGAATCACATGAATCGGGGCTTTTTCAAAGAATCCGCCGGCTTCTGGCCGACAAGAGCCGGCCTTTCGACGCGGACCCTGGACGTCGCGCCTCCAGTTGGTGCCTCTCTCCGCGGCGGACCGGGAAATTCGATAAAGTCCAGCAAGATGCGGGAGGGTTTTTCTATTTATAAACGTGCTCCGGGAATGTTGCGTGGAGGCGGAGCGTGGTCAAATTGAGAAACTGATGCACGTTATTAATGAGGGGGGAAAATGTCAAACGACAGAAGAACAGAGGTGGCCGGAGCGCGGACGCTGATTTGAAAAGGACGCCTGTGAAAGGCTCGGCTGGAATCTCCCGCTTAATGGTCAGAAATGGCAACAGCTGACCGATACCGCAAAGGTCACCGCGCATAATCGGAGTCACACACACACTACACACACTACACACCCCCGACAGAGCGTAGAACAAAACGGCAGACAGAGAGACAGCTTTGGTCTCTTAGCTGCCCGGCATACTAGGGACATTCAAAAGGATGGGTTATGTTCATTGGTTGAGAGGGCAGTTCAGAAAAAGGGACGAAAGTTTGAAATTCCCCAAGACAAGGAGTCTGAAAGACGTGGAGCTTTTCTGCCTACCTGCCTCCGCAATCTGACACATCCACTCTCAGACGGATCCGGAATCTGAGAGCAGCATCCCCGGCCCAGAGTTCAAGTTCAAACGGCCGGCTGGACTTCTCAGGAAGTCTTCAATCACGCTCCGACGGCAAAAAAGAAAAAAAAAATCCCAGCTGGAATTGTCTCTCTCAAAGTCTCTGGGTATACTGGACAGCTTGTAAAATCAAACTCTCATCCTGAGGGCGGCCTGGTCTAGTTGCGAAGGTGTGACAAGCCCGAGTCCATGTGAGGGATAAAGTAGGTGGCAGGTTCCCACCGAGAGGGAAAAACAAACCCAGGAGCCTCACATCCCTGCTCCCTCCTTTTCCCTCTCTTCCTCCTCCTTTACTCCTCCTGCTGGAAGACAAAACATGCCTATGTCTCCCTCCTGCTCGCTGCATTTCTCCCCCCCTCCCCTCTCCTCGCCTTCTCTCTCTCTCTCCCTCTCTCTCTCTCTCTCTCTCTCTCTCTCTCCCTCCGCCACCTCCTCTGCAGGATGTGTGAGCCGGTCGAGAGAGGAAGTATTGTGGAGGGCAGATAAAGCTGTGGAAAGCTGCTAAAATAATACCAAGAGTTCCACACTGTTATTGTTTGACGAGGGGGGGGGGGGGGGGTGTGAAGGTACTTCCTCCTTGTATATGTGTGTGAGTGAGTGTGTTAGCGTGCACGTGTGTTTGCAGAGAATGAAAAAGTGATCGAAAAAGAGTAAAGAAAGCAGAGACTGCTGGACGGACGGACGGACGGGGATGGGGTGGCTTGTGGGGGGGGGGCTTTTTCAGCTTGGCAGAGAAAAACAAGACGTGGTGAGAGATTTGGAATTGAAGAGAGGATGGGAGGTCTGCACACGAGCCTGTCGAATAATCGCAGACACACACAATGGCCGAGGGGTGACGGGCCAACGGGAGAATGTTTAATCGGCGTCCTTATCGCCCAGATAAAATTCTGTTAACACGGAGCTGTGTTACGGGGGGACGCAGTGACAGAAGTATGGCTTTGGCTGAGCGACTAATAAGCCACATTCCCCGGCCTGCAATGAAAACTTTAGATCGGGGGGAGCTTTACATCAATCCAGCTAAATCCCTGGGAAGTTACAGACACTCTACAGCCACATTTACACATTTAAATTGCTCGCACATCCCATGTCAGAGGCACCCCTTTATACATACGGAGACTTAAACCCTAAGATGAGGGTGATATTGGGCTAAGAAAAGAGAAAAAACAACTCAAAGTTGAAAAAGAAAAAGTGTTTTCATTGAACAGCCACTGCGCAGCCACTTCCAGATTACTGAAAGTAAAACAGAACCATGAAAAATGGAGAAAAAACAGAAGAAAAAGGAAATGAATCCAGCTAAATCCCTGGGTAGTAATGGAAATTCGATTGCTACATTTAAACATTTAAATCGCCCGCTTCTCTTTTGGCACCTCCCATGTTAGAGGCAGATAGAAAAAAGTTTTTCAGTGAACAAAAAAAAAAAAAGAAAAAAAGAAAAAAGCTAAGAATGCAGAAGTGGTGTGCAGCCGTAACTGGAAGTAATCATTTTCCGAGAGGCGCTATCAGCCTCCCACATCATTGCGGAGGGATTTTTGGGCCCTCCTGTATTCCCACCCAACGCATCGATCGCTTTGAGGTCTCCAAACCACTTTAGGATATATAGGGGGGATATCCCTTTTTTTCCCTTTTTTCCCACAGCATTCC